CGTGCCGAGTGTATACTTGCAAGCACGCAGATAGTTCCACCGGCCGTGCACCAGAAGCAGCTTGAGAAGGAAGCGGAACTGCGCGATCGAGTAGTCTGAAATACGCGCTGCCTGCAACCCCTCCTTTCCAGTGATGCCGATGCCCACATGGGCCTCCTGGATCATGGCGATATCGTTGGCGCCATCTCCAATGGCAAGCGTTATCGCGTCGGTGAGCTGTTTGCGGATTGATCTCACCAAGAACGCTTTTTGCTTCGGGCTCGCTCGACAACAGATGACCGAGTCTGCCTTGACAGCCAGTTGGAAGAACTGCTCACGCACCACCTCATTTGCTTCGATCAACGACAACGTCTGGCCATCAACCACAACCACAGAATGTGCCACACGGCCATGGGTAATCTCCCCAATAAGATGCGCGATTGTCTGCTCAACGTCGCCATTTTCTTGATCTAGAATCGTCAGTGTCGAGTACTCCTTGACAAGACGACACGAGTGCCCGACATTGATAGCAGTCTCCCGCTTATCACCGGTCAACATCCACATCTTGATATTGGCTCGTCGCAATTTGTCAATAGCCTCTGGCACGCCCTTCTGCAGCTTATCCTCAATAGCAGTGGCACCAGTAAGCTCCAGCTGCTGCTCAATCTGCTCGCCGGCGTCTTCAATTTTCTGCTGCCGATCAACGAGGCTAGTGCAAGCCTCGTTGTAAGCAGTCTTCCAATCCGTGTAGGTCGCTTCATCCAAAAACCGGTGGCCATACAACAAAGTCCGCAGACCGTCAGTGGCAAAGTCATTCAGATGCTGGAAGCAGCGCTCGAAAACAGCCGCCTCGTTGACAACCAATGCCTCTTCCACGAGATCCTCATCTTCTTCACCATTCGTAGAACTTCCAGAGTCCGAGATCGCAGCCGAGGGTCTGCCCATCTGTGCCGATGGCCGAGGGCTATAGTACTCACTATCAGCCTCTCTGTTCCGCATACCCCCATCCGTTTCCCGGTCGCGCAGCCAAATATCGATACTAGCTCGAAGAGCCGAGCCCTGTTGGCCAGTGATCGACGAGCGGCGACGGCTGAAGCTAGGCCGGTTCATACTGTTGCGAACACCACTGTTCTTCCGGCTGTGGTGCTCACTGTTACGTCGAATCACCTGGTTCACCTCGGCATTCTTGCGTCTGCTTGCACGGCGCTCGATCTCAGTCGCCTTATCACGTGCCAGATCGGCTTGCTTCAGGAGACGCATCAGTGTGGTATCGGCACCCTTGCAGAATAGGCAAATGCGTTGGTCGGGCATACGCACGACGACTGACATGCGCTTTCGCGCGCTTGAGAACTCAATCACGTCCATGATCTCGTAGACTTCGTCGCTAGTGGCTTCGTCTGGTCCGTTCGGTTGTGTGCGGACGGTCAACGTGTTTGATTGACGATCCACGACGAGATATCCGAGTTCCTGCGCTGCAAGAACAAGAGCCAACTCATCCGGGGAAGCAGCCTGGAAAGTGATGTTTCCGTTTACGTCTTGTTCGGGAATGCAAGTGTGACACAGTGTCATGGACAGAATGAACAGTTTCGCCTTTCGGGCAAAAATGGTGTACGGCTTGCGTTGGATATATTCGAGCATCTCTTCGGTGCGGTACGTAGTAGCCGACCGGCCATATGGACGGAGAGCATCAAGATGCCCAGAAACATTCGACGGACGGGGCATCTGAGCCTCGGAAACATTGGACTTGCGTCCCATTGCCTTTTTCCCCTTTGCGCTCCGCTTCTTGTGGATCAACTTGGTGTGGTCGCCTGCACGAGCAGCCTCCTCCTGGAGGTCCGCGTCATGCAACCACGCGGTTCCAGCCACACTCATCTTGCGGAAGCGCATCGAGTTATTTGTCAGGGTACCAGTCTTGTCAGAGAAGATGTAGCTGACTTGACCGAGCTCCTCGTTGATGGTAGATGTGCGCGCTTCAAGCGGCGTGTCGGTTTCAGGATCGTACATGTCGATATCGTTCAAGAGCAGCATCTGGGCAACTTTGACGATTTCCATACTCACGTACAGGGAGATGGGAATCATGGTGTTGAACATAATCAGGAACGAAGTGAAGATCGGGCCGTAGGAGACACTAGCACCTTGAAGGTACCAAGAATGTTGCTCCACGTCGCGAGACCAGAACTTGTAGGCCACGGTACAAACAACGGCTAGGATAATGACTAACACCACGATCAGCATTACCACACGGTTAACCTTATCCTGGAGAGCGGGCCTCTTGATTCGCGGGTTCTTGTTGGCGTTCATGCGGATCTTGCACTCCTCGCCAGTATATATCACCATACCCAAAGCGCGGTCAGTGTTCCGAAGGATGCTGCCGCGGTAAACGATCTCGTTGTTGGTCAAGGGCAGTTTCTCCTGGCCATTGACAGTGACGTGACCGTCGAACTTATATAGATCCAAGTTGGGGTCCTCAACGACGAAGTGCAAGGAGTTGCTGTTGATATCTTCTACGGTTGAGCACACCTTAGACACAGGCTGGCAAGGCTTCTTATTTTTCAAATTTGTCTCGCCGTCAAGAGCCATGGTCTCGATGTAAGCGACACCGTTGGGTCCGGTGGCGTGGAGGAGAGCAATATCAGCGGGAATCGGCTGGTCGCGCTCAAGTTTTATAACATCCCCAACACGAATTTCCTCACACTTGATCCGCTCCCAATCATGAGTATTGCTGAACATGGAGGCGCCGTCCTGGGTCGTTCCGTGGCCTGGGCGGAGCACCCAGGCATCCCGATTATTCTCTTCCTTGTCCAAACGATACCGGCGCCAATCATCAAACCCCTCCTTTCCCATTGATATGCCAACGAAGATCAAAAGCGGAACGATGGTCGTGTATGTTCCAGTTGTACTCAAGCCAGGGATCATCTGCAAGATGGCGATAATCAAGAAGTAGAAGTTGGCGACTTTGGTGAATTGGGCCAATAATTGGCGGGGGAAGAAACTCCAGAGACTGTAACGACTCGAACGAATGAAGTTACCGATATAAGGCTTCTGGGTGCGCTCATCAATCATAGAATCCACCATAGACGGATTCAAGTCAATGTGGCGCCCATCCTGAGTAGGAGGAATATCCTTGGTTCGGAGAATGAATTTCTGGATAGATGCCATAACAGCCTGGAAACGCGCGACTGCCACTGCAGTAGTCGCCTTTTTCCGGAGCCACTTCTCATGGGCCACAGACACGGAGAACTGCTCCTTGGGAGACTTCTCCAAAGGATCGGACGAGACATAAGGGGAAGCATCCTCCGTATGGATCGAGTCGAGCGTCGCCATCGGCGCGACACTCAGAGCATGCTTCTCATCGACGGCAGTGAGCGTCTCAGCAGCCGAAGCCTGTGTGGGAGTCACATCAGACGAGGGTTCCTTGGCCTCCCCCAGCTCAGCTAGGGCGAGATCGTCCTTCTCCGTCGAATTGATTGTCTTATTAAATATGCTGCGACGGAGCGAATATCCACGATTTCGTGACCGAGACCGACCTGCAGGCTCAGGATTTGGCGAGGGAATGGGGGAGAGAGTCGCATTTTGGGTCGCATTGGTAGGTGAGAGCGGAGAGGTGGGCGAGGGAGCAGGTCGAACACACGCAGGCGCCAGCGCTGTTTCGACGGTCAGGCCGCGGGAATTGGGGCGACGGTCCCAATCTGTCTGTCGTTGTTCCTCGATCGACTCGCGATCGAGATCGGTTGAGAAGCGTACATGTTGGGAGGAGATCCGCCGCGCGGAGTCGGAAATCGTATGTGACGACGCAAGAGATGGGCGTCGGAGGACATTGTTCTGCTCGGGTCGGGTACCCTCTGTAGCTTCCGTAGATTGGTCGTTGGACATGACGAATTCCAGGCACGAGGGCGCGGGACAGACCCCGACGATCTCGGTGATTCTTTTCTAGATCCTTCCTCGACTAGCTTCCCCTCAAGCGTAGATTGAAGTATTCGATTGTACACGCTGATCAGACAGTCATTCTTTCGCTGTTCTTTTAGCGGGGAAGATGTGTTCTCCTTGTCGTAAAACGAAGGTGTTGCGAATGTGGAGCAAATGAAAGTACTCCCGTCGGACGCAAGGATAGAAATGAAGGGCGCAATGATTGTTTCCTGTAGAATGTCCTGTAGAGAAGAGAAAGAAAAGAGGCCAAGAGGCCAAGAGACTAAGGGACTAAAAACCCAGATAGAGGCCAGGAGTAGCCAAGACCAAGTTTGGAGAAATGGTAACCCCAAAACGGCCTAGTGCGCCAACTATATCTAGAAGACGTACTCGATCTACACGGAAATAAATGATAGGCAGACATATAACGACAAAATTGGAGTTCAAGTGGAACAACCCAAACGTCTAAATATCCAAGACCAATAACAGACCCCGTCCATGGCAGAGTTTTAGGCAACGCGTAAGATGCAACCATACAATATCCCCGCCTGAACCCAGGCACAGCCCCATCCAGGTTAAATTAAGAATCGTCGAATCAAAGGGGATTGTTCCTCGCTGCATTGGGGCGACATACGAGGGGCCCGCTGGATCCAGATCTGCCTGCCGTTCTATTGGCCACCCTGACATTCCCAAGACCCTGCAACCCTATTGCAGATGGAAAACGGAAAAACTGGGAGTATAAAGTGACTTTTTCCCCCTCTTTTCGCTAAAATGTTATAACAATATACATATCTAGGTCATGTACGACCCTTATGTGTATTATGTGTATCCCAGTGTTTCTGCAAATGTAGGTTTCACAATTCTTCAACTAGCGAACCCGTGGGTTGATTCGTTTTAGTGTACTCTGTAGCCTTGGCGGGCCCGATTACAAGAGACCTGTAGCCTTGGAAGGCCTAGAAATCTCCAGTTTAAAACGAAACAATGATATTCAAGTTAAAAGTTGGGTTCAACGCGTTCGAAGCTACGTGGACTAAAATGTGAACACCCCACAACCTTCCCTCAAAGCCGCATGGCGAAAAACGGGAAACTCGTAAGCCCTATGACGTCATGCTCTATCAATAGCGTGGCGGCTGTCCACCATACTGGTAGCCAGGTCCAGGCTGTGACCCATACTGCGGTTGCTGGCCATAGCCACCGCGCGTGCCCTGCTGGGGGGCCTGCTGGGGAGGCTGCTGTTGGTATTGACCACCCTGCGGTGGGTAGCCGGACTGGGAACCGTACGAAGCCGGCGGGGCACCAGGGGGCGGACCAAATGGAGGCTGAGCTTGGCCCTGGGGTGGCGGGGGTTGACCGTATCCTCCGCCTCCGTACTGGCTTATCGATGCCGGTGGAGGTGCACCGCGACGTTCGTTGTCTCGTTCATCCTTGGTGTCATAGGAGGAATCAATGGCGCCGAGCATCAGTTTGGCACACTGTAATCACAGTCAGTTTACTAATATGCGATGATAAATGTTATAAAACGCTTACCCAAAGCTCACGAGTGAGATGCACTGGTGGGTTAGCACGCGACATCTCATCCTGCTCAACCTCGAAGTCTAGAACACCACATTAGCTGAATCCATCATGAGGCCCATGTGGAACTTACTGGAGGTACAGTCGATCAAGTGGCCAATATGAGGGTCCTGGTCCAGAGATCCCAAGAAGTCGCGAGCCCGCTGATCAGTCCCCACCTGCGAGAACTGGAAGGATACGGCGCCAGGGCCATAACGGGTCCGTGACGTCTCCTCCACTGCATAGCGAATGACATCACCCACGGTGCCGTGCGGCTCGCCAGCAGGCTGTCCGTCGGTGATGGTGATCACCAGCACGGGCTTCTCGAGACGATTGGCCCGGGCGGGCTGAACGACCATCGGGTCAATGACCTTGGACTTCAAGCTGGTGCCCAGGGGGGTCAGGCCCGAGAAACGGACTCGGGACACTAGACGACTGACATCCTCCGCATCGCGAATGCCATCGCCCACCTCACTGGAGTTCATGAATCGGACAGAGATACCGTCCTGGTCGAAGGTAGATGCAGCGGTAGCTACAATACCAAGAATCTGTCGGAGTTGATCCTTCCGGAGTCCCTTCTCTTCGAATTCAATAGATCCACTATCATCAACGTAGAGAATCACGTCGAACAACGAGAGCTTCATGACATCGGTCGCCACCTCCATGGGCACGGCCCATTCCTGAATCAGCCTGTTGAGCTTAGCCGGTGCTTCAGCGGCGAGCGACTGAACAAGTCGGTCCAGTCGCTCCGGAGGGTAGAAGCTTTGGAGATTCCTCTCTTGAATCGTTGAAATCAAAAGCGATCGGTAAGCTGCAGCCTGCTGCTGGGTAGCCGGGGGAGCTGCAGCCTGAGGGCCGCCTCCGGGTGCGCCATACTGGCCTGGTGGTGGTCCACTTGGTGGTCCAGGTGCGGGTCCAGGACGACCCTGGCCACCGGGGTATGGAGCTCCCTGAGAAGAATAGGGCGCTGCCTGGTTCTATTTTCCGTTAGCATCCTTTCCAACCATTGAGCGTTCAACGAGAATCCAATGTAATCAAAAACGGAACAGAAATATGCAGTGATTCAGGGCAAGGGGTATTTTGTACATATGACGGCTGCTGTCCAGGATATGGTTGTTGTCCCGGATATGGTTGTTGTCCGGGGTATTGTTGTTGTCCGGGGTATTGTTGTTGTCCAGGATATTGTTGTTGTCCAGGGTATCCTTGTGGAGGAGGTTGCTGTTGACCAGGATAGGGCGACTGTGCAGACTGCCGTCCTGGGTAGGGCGAGCTCGGAGAAGCATAGGGCTGTCCCGCTTGCTGACCCGGATAGGGAGAACTAGCATAGGGCTGGCCTTGTGGTGGGGGTGGAGGCGGGCGGCCATAGGCCTGAGGTTGTTGAGATTGCTGAGCTGCGGGGTAGGGTGTGGATGGCGGAGGCCGGGAATAGGGAGATGACGGGTTGTTCTGACGTTGAGATGAGCCGCCATATGGAGGATAGCCTTGGTAAGGTCCCGACATGGTTGTTCCAGAAGAATGATGACCGTGGAGGGGTAAATCGTGGAAGTGGGGGAAAGTAAAAAGCAAAAAGAGTTAAGAAAAAAATATCACGTACCGTTCCCTGAGGGGCCGGAGATCCTGAATAAGCCTGGTATTGGGGCTGTTGACTCTGCGAACGTTAGCACTTTCCTTTTTCGATGACGTCGGAACTGCGAGTCATAGCAGAAACAGGCACAACATATGACTTACCGATCCGCCACTTTGCAAGGCTGCAGGAGGGCCCCCAGTGTAGCCTGCTGGAGGTGCACCTCCGTATGAACCACTGTTGGCCATCTTCTCGTTATTCTGAGCTGCGGCGATTTTCTGAGCAAACTAAATATGGGTCAGATTGAGGGGTTCTCGGGGAGTGGTAACTAGTAAGAATAGGAATCTGGAAGACTTACACCCATGATGAATCGGATGGAGCAAAGAGGAGATGAAGTAAGGCACAGGCAGAAGTTCCAAAGTTCCAAGGGTTGGAGTATCACGAGGGGAGAGTTCCAAGGTTCGGTGACGTTGCCTGATGTGGATAGCCCCTCTTCAGTTGGAGTGAGGGTATACGCAAGGTACCTCGGGATACTTCCTTTCCCACGTGTTTTTACTCGCGAATGAAGTACTTAGAAGTATCTCACATGAAGTCATTAGGTCGATGTATACGCAGCCCTATATATATTACGGATTTTAGGCGGCAGCCATTTCCCCTGCGCCTCTTTACGAGGGCCGATCCCAGCGATTTCTGCGAGGCAGATGACGGAGATTCGTATTACCCCGGTCAGTAGTCCAACCCCGCTATGTCCGAGTAACAGTTGAACCTCAGTCATGGTCTCTCCGCAGAGTCACTAAACCGTCTACTATAATAGTTACAACTTAATCATTATTTACTATTGCTGCTGTTCTTGAATGTAATGTGAGTTATGTAAATTCAACGGATAACTAGTTAGTTATGGGCCAGTCAATCATGACATAAAAGCCCCCCCGTTGGACCCAATCAAATCCCCATTCACCCACCTAGAACCTTCTCCCGAAAGCCAGGCGACCACATCCGCAACATCTCTCGGTGTCCCGAGTCTCTGCTCGGCGGTAGCAAGACCCTTGGCAGCGGCCCTCGCATCACTGTCGGGAGCGTCAGGTGTCGCTGTGGGTCCTACCAAAACGGCATTACAAGTGAGATGATACTTGACGCCAAATTCTCGAGCCCACGTACGAGTCAAAGACTCCAGGGCGGCCTTGCTTGCTGAATAAACGCCATATCCTGGAAAATTCAACCTAGAACCAATTGAGGAACTGCAACGAATGTTAATGGTTAATGCTGGTGTGAAGGTAATTAGGTCGAAACTACTTACATGTTGATGATTCTATTCCCATGCGGTCCTAGGTGCGGAAGCAATGCCTGGACCAAAAGGATAGGAGCTCGTACGTTGATGTGCATGATCCTAGTCTTATTAGCAATCTGTAGCCGTGAACAGGAAAGGCTTACCTCTCAAATTCATCCTGATCCAACGGTTCTTCAACGCTGGCGGGTGTTTGAGCAATGGCCGCATTATTGATCAAGAGTTCGATGGTCCCGACCCCAAGGCCTTGAAGAGCCTGTCTGACAATTGATTCTCCACAGGTTCCCGATGATAGATCGGCTTGAATTGCGCAGCATTTCCGACCTTGGTTTGTAAACTCGTCGACCATTTCGAGTGCTGTTGATTTGGAATTACTTGAAACGTAAACCAAAGCAACATTCGCCCCGAGAATGGCAAGCTGTCGGGCAATTTCCTGCCCTATCCCACGGGTAGCCCCAGTAACGATGGCAGACTTCCCTACCAGAGGTAGATTTGATGGGCTCTCTGCAAAGTCAGACATGTCTGTAGCAACTATGACTTGCCAGTTCAATTCAAGGAAACGAGTGCAATTTTAACGAAGGCTGCGTTTCTCAGAAGGTGTAGATGAGGAATCAGGCAAGTCGGATCGTCACAGCAACGAAGAATTACACGTATATTTGCTAGTAGAGAATTCACCCTTCTTCTCCTCTTCTTTCGCTCCAAGAATTTGAACGGGATAAATCACCTTTTCTAAGCCCTTTTTATCCTTTCCTATGAGTTTTGAACGGATCGGAAATTGAAGTACCGGCCGGCAGCGGATGAGTATTCGGCCATCCGGGACCTGGCCTTCCGTACGGAGTACTCGGAGATTGATAAGTGACACTATACAACATGGTTCACCCTACTTCTGTTTACTGCGACACTTCTCCACTTTCAAGAATATGAAGCCGTCGGGTTACGGCAGTCTTAACTTATATTAGTACCACTGGACGCCACAGAAGTGCAGCGCTCTATAGTCAAGTTTGACCGCCTGCAGGCAAAATCTGATATGACGCACTAGCGGTTAGAGCTGCCACTGCCGTACGTCGGGTGGATAATTCTTATTCTTGTTCTGACATCCTTGCATATGTATTCTTGCAGAGATCGCTCAAAAAGGCCTACAGAGGTATGATAGCTAAAGGTCGGTTATTCTAAGATGAGTCTACGTCGGAAGTATAACCCTTTGTCACTATCTGTGATGCCTTTCATTTCCAACCAATATCGGTCGTACACATAGCATGAACCATCCATATCTATATAGGATCGACAGATAATCTGCGACTGTATATGAAGTGTATCGGATCTTACCAGCCATGGTTCGAATCCGGGGTAAAACTCAGACCAAACTATGAAATGTGGCCCTAGATCACAGGACAATGATGTCACAAAGTTGGCATGTTCCAGGGATGTCCTGTCCTTGAAGCCGATGGTGGTACACAGCTCATAGGGGCACTACCGTATTTTCTTTGTTTGATCGTTCCGAGATCGTATCAACGAGGCATCGCTCTTACTCTAATTTTCGAGCTTTGCTCACTTTCACATTCGCAACTCCCTTAATCCCTCAACTACTTGAGATACCATTCTCCTTCTCAGTCATTTAGCTGAGACGAACTACAAAGAACTCAATCATCTCTCGGCTTCCCTCCATATGTACCCATCAGATCCGCAGCTTCCTACCCCTCCGCCAACATGTCCACCCCCATCCTCCGCCTAGGTATCCTAGGCGCCACGAACGCCGTGCAAGCCACCTACCTCCCAGTCCTCTGTTCCCTCAAAACACACTACACCCTCACAGCCATCTACGACCCCAACTTTGAAATCGCGAACCAATGCCAATCCCGCTTCGACATCACCTACAGCACAACAGTCGTCGAAGATGTTCTGCGCCATAAAGAAGTGGACGTTATCCTCAACCTCCTCCCAATGGAATACCACGAGCAATACACCGTGACAGCCCTCGAAGCCGGCAAACACGTAATGGTTGAAGTCCCTCTCTCAATGAGCATCTCAAGCCTGCGCCGCATCCGCGAAGCAATCAAAAAAGGCAAAGCCTCCCGATCCCTTGACGGCACCAACGAAACAGACGGCCCAAAGGTATTCATCGGATGCGCGCGTCGCTACGCCCCCTGCTTCACAGATGTCTTCAAGAAAGAACTCGCATCTTTAGGCCGCGTGTACTACGCGCGATGTCGACACATCGCCGGCCCGATGAACAACATCGTTGCGCCGGCCTCGAAAGATATCACACTGGCAATGAAGCGCAACAATAACCCAGAGCAGTTCCACGCGCTGCTGGAAGATGTCTTCGGGTTGAAAGAAGACCTTACACCGGACAGAGTCGCTTTCTGTCGCTACCTCGGCATGCAGGGTTGTCATGATCTATCGCTGATGCGCGAGTCGCTGGGCTTCCCGGATGCTGTTGCTAACGTCGCTATCACGGACCCGTTTTATTCTGCCATTTTTCACTATACGAATTCCGCTGAGAATGGAGGTCGCCCGTTTACGCTTCTCTATGAGGCTGGGGTTGATGCCGTGCCTCGCTGCGATGCTCATTTGACTCTCTATGGCGTGCACAAGACTCTCAGTGTGGAGTATGACTTCCCGCGTCCTGGTGAGAAGATCAGTACTGGTACCTATGTGCGGGTTGTCGTCGAGGAAGCGGACGGGACGGTGGATACGGATAATGTCAATGGAAATCAGATTAACGAGGCCGAGAATGCTGTTCCTCGTCCTCGTGTGAAGCGGACGGAGACTGTTAGTACCTGTGACGAGGCGTATGAGCGTGAATTCATGGCTCTGCATTCTTATTTGGCTGGTGATGGGTCGGCGGCGAAGACAACCGCTGATGACGCAGTCATGGATCTGCGGCTGCTGCTCATGATCTTTGACCACTACAACCGCCAGTGTGGTACCATTCGGACTCCGCTGGGTTGAGCGTTGATTGCTTGACAGGCGGTTTGAAGTGGTAGAGGGGGCCTTCGTCCGGTGTTTGATCGAAAAGTTGCTTTAGGCTGGTTATACAGGGGTTGCTTACATTCGGTTATCGCAAAGATCGGAGTCTTGGGGGTTAAACAAAGCCAGTGGGAATTCATTTTACTACCCGTCTCGGGTTTGAGGCGCCCTTCAATATGAAATACAAGATACATACCTGTGTTCCATGTATCGTAGGTAGCATTCAAGCTATGATCTCTATCTGAAATTACACTATCGCTTGCCCTTCTTCTTATTCTTCTTGGCATTAGGGCCACCACCGCCTCCGCCGGTCTTTTGCGGTTGCTGGGCGGAAGACTCTTCCGCCTTCTCATTGACGGGACCACCCTGCGTGAGTGCTGCAGCACGCTGCTTACCCTTCTTACCCTTAGGCCTGTAAGAAGAGCGGTCACGCACAGGCAGCCAGCGCTCGGGGTCAGGCTTCTTGGCAGGATCGAAGTCCTTGGGTAGACGGGACTTGCGGACACGCTTGTTGGCGCGCTCGTCGGCGCCAGCCGCGGTGCGCTTGCGGGCACCAGCAAAGGCAGCAGCTGCCGCGGCAACCGAGGATGCGGAGGGAGCGATGCCAGCAGATTCCAGAGCTGAGACATCGATGTCGGCGATCAGGTCGTTGACAGCCGGCAGGCGGTCGAGCTCAGACTCAATCTGCGCATAGTCCAGGGTTGCTTGTGAGGCGACATAGCCGGCGATGGCGACGCGGTCATTGGGGTCTTGCTGGTGCAGAGCACGGAATATATCACCCGCTGTAGCTAGGTCTGTGCGGTCTTCGGAGTGCAAAAGGGAGGCGGCTGCTGCACGGAGGAGGGACACGGGGGGCTCGGGCTTAGTGCGCCAGTAGGAGGCGGCTTGTGCGAGGGTAGTGCGGATCTGGACTATGCGGCCTTCGCGCTGGTACAGGGAGACAAGGACGCTGAGTAGGCCTGGGTTAAAGCGGACGGACTCGTTTGGGCCCTCAAGACTGCCGAGGGTTTGCTCCATGGCTGTGATAGCAGAGGTGGTGTTGCCGCCGCTGACATAGAGCTGTACCACTGTCAGAAGAAGGCCGATGTCTGTGGGCCGTCGCTCCAGCAATGGGAGGATCTGTTTAAGGGCTTTAGGGCCGGTTTCGCCTTGAGCATGTGCTGCGGCGTTGAATACAGAGAGAAGGTTGGTGATGGCGTCGGTGGATGGACTTGGGCGTTTTGACTGTGCCTTAGCTGTAGACCGGATTACACCATCGTATTTTTGAACAAGGAGGTCTGCGGCATGCGAATTTCCAATCACATCACGGTCCTGGTATTCGAATAGCCGATCGTTATTGGTGGCATCTGGGGTGTCGTGGAGGGCCTTGTATAGGATGTAGGGATTGACGGCAGTCGGGCGAGCGAGGACGATGTTGTTACGGGCAATCTTCTTAGTTGATAACTCGGGGATGCTAGGAAAGGATGTGAGCAATAGGTTTCGAGCAGGTATGATTAAACGTACTTTTCCACGGGGATATCTTTGAGAACCGCCTCGGCCTCTTCCAACTTTCCAAGTTGAATCAGGACATAGAGTTGTTGCACTGCGATTGGCAGCAGCTCTGCGGCCTTGTCCTCAGGTGAAAGGTCCTCCGATGTCCGGCAGATATCTATGCAAAACGTCAGTCTGAGTCCTAGTCTTAGGCAAGACGGAGAGATGCTGACTTTGAGCTCGGTTGAGCAAGACCTCGCTCTGCTTAAACGCTCCCTTTGCAATGTTCAAGCAAGCTGCGTTGTAGGTTGTTTCGAATGATTCCAAATCCTCCCTCGACAATCGGTCGTGGCGCACGAATTCCGTCTCTCCTTTCCATTGAAGCTGGGCATCGGTAGCCCACGAATTGATGTTCAGGTCGTTAACCTCGCGCCCGAAAGCTGTCGTATCTTTTGAGAGTTGTTCGTAAATCTCGGCTGACCGTCGGAAGTGTTCAGTACGATAACGCTATTATGACACGACAATCAACATTGGTCCTCAAGCAACAGAAGGACAGATGGGGCATCCTACCACTTGCGCCTCGAGATGGCTAGCACCACGCCCAGAAGCTGTGCGACTCAAGGCTTCTGTGGCTTCTTCAAGCTTCCCGCACTTGTATGATGCATAGGCGTATTCCAGACCTGCACTCTGCTTCAGCGCATCACCTCCGGCCTGGAATGTCTTGAGGGCTTCTTCATAACGGTCGAGTTTCAACAGAGCAACGACTTTCATGTGCTGCGCTTGCAGGTCGGATTTGGATTTGGCGAGGACTGCATTGCATGACTGAAGGACTTCCTCGTGGTCATCAATCGACGCTTGCTGTAATAGCGAAGCCAGCGATTGCGCAACCATGGCGGGGGTCGAGAATTTTAGGGGGTAATTCGCGGGCGAAGAAGACGGTAACTTCAATATCGGATAAAAGATAAAAGCGCGTGATTAATACAAAGAACACAGTGGCCGATTTCCCCAGATCAACTGATATCAAACTCCAATGTGCGGAACTGGTCTTTTCCCCATTGGGGGGTTTCTGCGCTCAACGCTATGTGCCCCGCCGTAGCTCACGTGTCCTATATGATTCTCCAATTTGACATCGACAAATCCACGAATAACGGTGACAGATCTCGAAGCACTGGAATTTGTAGAGTGTGTACTGAGGCAAAACTGCATATAATAAGCCAACTCTTGCAGAGTAAGCTTGATATGGACAAAATTTGAACTAATTTCCTGGTACTTCAATTTCACGAGGGTTTAGACCGGGAGGGACTCCTGCTGTAGGTACTAAACCTAACTTCCTTTTCATCGTCACCCAGACTTACTACGTAGTGTGAAGCTTTAAGCTACAACTTAGTCTCTCCTCCTATTATTCGCCCGCCTGCTCTTCTAATGGTAAATGCACATATGTTCTTGTGAAGATATATCATCTAGTGTAGAGTTTGCAGGGGGCTTTTGCGCGTGGACAGACTCTAAGTCTGTTGATCACTTTTTCGATTGGGTGTAATACCTAGGGATAGCGACGTTGAAAGGAGACTGTCTGAGCGACCAGTAAGCCTCTAGCTGATTGAAGCGAAATGTTTCCTCTACGCTGACCACCATCTATGCATATTCGGGACATAATGCCGAGGGCGAAATCCGGAGAGAACCAAGAAAACAATGCGCAAGGCAAACTACTCCGTATTAGCATTGGCATTGGCATTGGTATCGGTAGCTGGGTCGGTTCGATACCATATGATGTACAGTACGGAGTACTCCGTACATATTTGCAACAAAAGGTTTTCGAGTAACTTACAAGTAAGAGGCATGAATATCATCTTCAAAGTGGGGCTGGGTGGGTGAACCACTGCGCCGGGGGGTCTAAATGTATATATCGCAAATGCCAATTGTTATCGAGTACCACAATGGCCGTCCGGAAAGTACTCCGTTGTACTCCATTGTAGTGCTTATCTAGGGCCAAACACTCCGTAGTGCCTTGGCTATCAAAGCCTGGACGGAGTACTCCGTAGCACACGGGTAGAGGACGCGCGGATGTGGGGACCGGAGAAATCGCCGACGAGTGAAAAGAAGGGATCATTCCTCAGGAAGTCTTGGCATCAACACGGTTGTGCTCTGCACTTTGTACACTTCGGGAATTAGCAAACCACCAAGGAAGATAGTACGGAGTAGTATGTATGGAAACGGAGAAATTTCAATAGAACCATGCTGGCATCTTTATACTGTCTTTCCCCAGCTCGGACCGGGATATAATCTCCAAGTTACGATGTACTATACGAGCACACGTGACTTCCGCCAAATAGACCTTGAACGTCATCGATCGTGTCTCAGACCCTTTCTTGACCCTTGTCTTCCCGTTCTTTCAGTCTCACGTTCTTCCTGTTCCTGTTCCTGTTCCCCCTCTGCCTTTTTCCCTTCCTCTTTCTCTACCTCTTCCTCTTCTCCATCTCTCGCCAAACCGCCTAGACATATTTATATTATACTTCATCCGCCTGCGACCGTGGGCCCTGTTCTAGACCAAAATCATTGTCTCCGCAATGCGGTAGAACCCGACACAATCTCACAACACAAAATATGCTATTCGGTGCTCGAGATGGGTATGTTCCGGGGTCATGGGCTTGGAAAAAGGTGCTGCGGTTTGGAGTTATCTTCTTGTTTGTGGTAGGATTTGCCGCTGTACTATGGCCCTCGGTCGAGCCAGTGAAGATTCCGCTAGAGACAGCTGCCAACATCACCGTCGCTCCCAATATCCCGTGCGATCTCGACTACGATAAATTGGCAAGCCTGAACGTTATCAACGTCGCCCAATATACCCGCCGAGAAATCATACTCGATATGACAGACGAACCAGTGCCCTACACGCAATGGCTTGAAGAGCCGTTCTTGGAAGTCCGAAGGGCTACCGGGGAGGCGGCGGACGGGTGCTCAATTCCCACACCAGTGTCCTTGCGGGTCCCCCAGCCTCCGAAATTGGCGGACGCATCACACATCGATTTTGGAGTCGCGACCAGTATCGAGCGATTGAATGAGTCTCTGAATGCATTCGCTCACTGGGCTGGATACTCGCGCTGTCGCATTTTCGCACTGATCGAACCGGATCGCTCGGAAAACGGCGTGCGGGATGTCTTGGCCAAGGCCGACTCTCTAGGGATCAACCTCCACATCACAGAGGCGGAGGATGACTACCTCAACCGATACTTCGCACTCATCCCTCTTTTGAAGGAGAATGCTCGGGAAACAACCCGGTGGGGCTGTATCATCGACGATGACACATTCTTCCTGTCGATGTCGAGACTGGTGGATGCGCTCGCTAAATATGACCACACCACCTCCATGTATATTGGCGGATTATCCGAGTCTATCCCGCAGATTGCAGCATTTGGAATGATTGGGTTCGGAGGCGCGGGCGTCTTCTTATCCAAACCCCTCTTGGAAGAAATGACCAACGTGTACGATAAGTGCTCTGCGATGGATTTCACAGGCGACCGCCGCATCGCCATCTGCGTCTACCGCTACACCCAGACCCGGCTGACGGTGGATCACCGTCTGCGGCAATTGGACCTGATGCACGACGCCTCTGGATTCTTCGAGTCCGGCCGCGAGCCCCCACTCACGGTGCACCACTGGAAATCCTGGTTCCACGCCGACATGCCGAAGCTAGCGGTGATCGCCGAGCTATGCGGCGACAGCTGCCTTCTCCGCAAATGGCACTTTGGCGACGGCTGGATCCTGACGAACGGATTCTCGGTCATCAAGTATCACTCCGACCCAGATCGGGACGACCTCGCCATGGAGCAGACCTGGGACCCCCACAATGGCGCCAATGACGAATCTTACCTGCACGAATTGGGTCCGCTCCGACGCAAGGATGAGCTCAAAAAGAGCTTCCGGTTGCAGGATGCCGTCCACGAGCAGAATGACCGTGTCACTCAGTGGTATGTCATGCGCGATGAGAATAACGGTGATCAAATCTTGGAGCTGTCATGGCGCAAGAGATAAATATTCTTTTTTTTGTTTTTGTTTTGCCTTGTACATGTACACAATGTGTACGGGCTTCTTCTTTATACGGTCTCCGGGCCACGGGCGATCTGCTATGGCAATAAGCCCACTTTCAGGCACATGGGCGCATGGGCAAAGGAATGCCACTATGCATGGAGTTTTGTTTCGTTATTTATAGACGATAGATACACCTTCTGTCTACTCTAATGAGTTGAATAATGTGATATGGATGTTTGGATTACCTCTTATGCTTCACGATTGTAGCTACTGAGGATAGTTCCGAGGAACGATGTTCTCGACTACAGGCTGCTTGGTCTTGGCAGGACTAGAGACAATATTTACAAAGTACGGCATAGGGAATGCCGTGACCCAGCGAAGATCCCATGGAACCCCTGAAGATCGATCGACGTTGAATGTCGATCCAATACAACGGATGTGAGACCAAGTGGAGTAAGCAGTTAGCAGTTAGCAGTTAGGACCACGGTGATCCGGAGCAAGTTGATCATTAGGGAGGTGGAGAACGGAGACTACTACCTAATAGAGACGTTTAGCATGCCATCTACAATTAACAGAAGTAGAATTTCTTTTTTTATTGAGTGCTGGAAATGTGATCAGATTAGGGGTTTAAATTCCGAATAATTACATGAGCTTGGAATAACGCCAAAATCGAGGGTCAATTTCTTTTGTCCTCTCTTTCCTACTCTATATTCTTATCTAATTTTTGTCGGTCTTTTTGCTTCTTTTTCAAATAACAAAGGTATATATATACGATCCTCTGTAGGGAGTATCAATCATAGATACAATTTCATCAATTAAGTCTATGTAACCAAACTCTATAACCTGTGTAAGACAGTTTTGCTGGTTGAAATAAAAGCATCCAACTGTCAGATAATGAGGGGAAGTACAAAAGAGGGGCAATAATAGACATATCATCTAACGAGCGTCTATATCTTCATTTGATGAAACACTGAAAGTTGAAGTCAGGGAATCACCACAACCTTCAGATGATGAAAGTCATCTTTGCCAGCTTACCAGTTTCACATGGTAACGATAACCCGAGTTGGTATTAGTGTGCATCAATCAGAAGGTGTGGAATGCCACAGTTAGGGTTAAGGGTATCGAGTATATGGATACTAAAAAAACTCTAGGAGCAACTTTCCCACCGGCGCAATAGTACTTTGCCCTTAGATTTGCGGCGACCAGTTGATGGAGAGACTGAATTCCCAGCGGAATATCGCACCGTTAGGGAATCTACTCCCATCCCAGCTAGCAGACAAATTCCTGTTCGTCGTGCAGTTCTGTGGGCTCTTGAAAACAATTGTTATTTGCGAATCGATGATTGGTGTCGCTCGATATGGCTTTAAGCACAGATCCTCGGTTCGTGCAAGGCGATGGCTCGCCGTGTGGGGTACGAGAGTCATATATTGCGCTCGGGGCAGTCGATTTGGCTAATATAATCAGACAGTGTCGTCCATGGAAACAGGACGCCGAAGACGCCGAAGAAAGGCCGTTGGTTGATATTGCACCGTCTGTACTGCGGGATATTTACGCCAGTGTATGCAATTGGGTCTCTTTCTACGATGAAGGCCCTTCAACGCTATAAACTCTGAATATAGACACAAATCCTGGACTCGAAAGCCCTGTCTAAGCTTTAGGGGTAGTATTAAGAAAGGAAGGGCAGACCTCACCGAAATGGGAAAGACGCTTCAGGATACCGTGGGCCGCAGCTTGTTCTTATAGAGAGATACAGAGGAGATGCTTGAGCGCCTTGATGACCAACTAGCCTTTTTCCAGGGAGACTAAGCCGATTATTGCGAACTTAAAAGATGGCTAAGTGCGCACTATACCTTAAACCGGGGTGTTACCAATATTCAAGCTCAAGTCTGTTTACTCAAAGAGAAATGCTACCGACATGTTGGGAAACAGAGAGACACTCTTCCAAACCCTAATCACATGACACCCTAATCCTAATATGGCTGTTTCCGTATTTGAAGAACTGTTCCAGTATTTTATGGTAATACAGTATGCGAAGGTGTATAGCGGCCAGTGGCCGAATGCCTGATTTTGTGGGATTGATGCCTTAATTTGTCTAATTTGTGCCTGATTTTAGACTGGTAGAAATTAAAATACCTGAATTACCATGACAGAGAGCGTGTAAAATGAAGCTATTCCCACTATATAAATCTCAATATTCGTCTAAGTCTAGGTGGTTTGAAGATATTCCGACCCTAAGAATCTGAAGCTATTCATACTATATAAATCTCTGGCTCCCTCCAATTCGAGTATCGATACTCTTCCTCTAACTATATTCTCTATCTTCCTCTGGTTCCTATATTTATACTCTCTGTATCCTCCTCCGCTGGCTCCGGTATAGCGAAGTATCCTAAGACTAAGCCTACACTCGCTTCTGCGCCCTTCCTACTGGTTTAACTGCTATAGGAGGAGGCGATTTAACTGATATAGGAGGAGTAGGACGTCTAGTAACAATTCGGCAGTCCGGCCATATATCAATTATACCTTTATATCGCGTAATAACCACATGAAGCCTTGGGATTTGCTTAGGTACCAAAGGCGTTACATTTATTTTATTAAAGGGCTCTGCCACAGTAATTCATAGAAGTATCATATAGCTGAAATTATTCGAAGGTTATGCTTTTTACAGTGGTAAGACCATAATAAATAGCATATGTACTGAAAATGGAGTGCCAAGAGTTACTCTGCCTAATTAGGTTAGAGAGCTGCGGAGCAGTATTCAATTGTGTTTACAAAACACAGTATAGGCGGTGTCGAAGGCGGTCTAGAATCAAGCATAAACACCGCAAAATCAGGCGTTCGGCCACTGGCCGCTATACACCTTCGCACAGTACGTCCCGAAACTGGTGGACAGCCCATAGCCGACGGGTGAGACTAGATGACACGGACATGGTGTTATCGGTGAACTCCCAACGGGACATTGCGAAACACTTTGAAGGTACTAGTGTTGATTAGGCAGCGATAGAGAAATAGCTACTAGCGTGGGCCCATCTATTCCGTTATGGCCAGAAGATCCGGCTTCAGATTCAACTACATAGCGGACAGTGGGCCTCTTCCTTCCATATATTTGGAATGCACTAGGTCCCTGGAGATATTGAGGAATTAGATGTCGGAGAAGATGAGTCAACACATTTAGGATATCTTGTAGGCTTACTACTCGGGTAGTAGTTAAATACCCTATATGTGTGTTAATGTTTATACTGTACAGTCGGAGTCGAAAACCGATTCCCCTTTGTGCACACAAATTTTTTTCTGGAGCTCATCATACAGTGCATTAATCTGTTCTCCGCGCCAATATCATTTAGTGCCAATGAGAATGATTGATTGAAAGGAAAAAGATCTAATGGGAGGTTCTGTTGAAGAACATCCGGCATGACAACGCTGTTGTTACGTTGTAGCCCAAGATACATACAGAAACAATGTATTCGTCAAAATTTCTACTCCTCCTCTTCAGTTGTTGTCTCATCGTCGACAGTGTTAGAGAATGGCCTGTATCCTTCTTCGTTGATTTCGGCGAGAATGGACTCGGAAGTCTTTTTGCGCCCCAGTCCATACAGCTCCTGAAAGCTCATAATCAACGGGTGCCATTTGTCGGGATCGATTCGATTCGCATGCCCTGCCATGCGAATATTTTCATGAACGTGTGTCCGAAGAACCTGAACCTCCAACGCGATAAACCCTTTCATCTCCGCGTCTTGCATCATTTCATACACCCCCTTCAATTCGGCCTCCATCTGAGCAGGGCACTCAGCAATGCGGGGAGGTCGAATCAGATCGGAATCCGCCGGTGTCAAGCCTGAATGTCCAAATTTGTCCGGCACATACTTGTAGCCATTCATGCGTTTGAAGTATAGGTATCCTGTTCCCTTGGCTGCGGTCGACATCTCCTTCGACCCAGTTGTTTTTGCTAGAGCGTTTACTGCTCCTGCCATGTTGTCTGATGCGAGGTTCAGGACACATTGCTTGGTTCGAATCAAATTGATCGTGGTTTGCGATATGGCCCCTAGGCCTAACATGCATCGATTTCCAAGCCACCATGCTGATGACATGGGCGCGATGTTGGATGTTCCATCTTCGTTCTCCGTCGTTATCAACACAACCGGTGTACCCCAGTAAAAGATGGGTGGGGAAATCGTCTGAGATGACTCGATAGGTATTGTTGCCATGGTGTCCTTGGATGGGAACCTTAGGATGGTGTCCTTGGATGGGAACTTTAGGATGGTGTCCTTGGATGGGAACCTTAGGACGTCGATAATTGTCTGTCGCTAATTCAAGTACTCCAGCTTTGTACTTCCCTATTTATATCTCAGCCTGCTTACTTGTATAGTATTAAGTAACCTCCTTTAGTTGTAGTACCTTGCTATATAAGTGGCCAACGACCGTAACGTATACTATACTTTTTCGCTTGGCCTTTCTAACTCGGCCTTAGTTTCACCTTGTGGAGCAGAAGCGGCCAACCATCGTATTCCAATGCTTATTATGATTGGTCAGTTTAAACACATATGCTCATAAAATTCCACACCGCCTCCCACTGTCCCACACGGCTCTATAAGTAGCCAATAAACACATCTGGTGCCTTAGCTTCCCCACTATCTCTTAACTAGCCACTGCCAAGCAATCCGGTTAATATATCGACGATAGAAGTGGCCAATCACGATCATATTTCCTCTATCTTGTAATTGGCCAGTTTGAAGAGAATTTTTTATTGAAGTGAAGTCTGGCTGATTTGGACCCGCCTGTGCACCCTCGGTCTAGGCTAGGGCTCGCCAAGATAGCTAAGATATATTCAAAACACTGTGACTCTACAGTATTACCTTGCCTCTGCGAAAATTTAGGGCCCATTTAGCCAGACTATTGTCATTCTTGGTGGGCTTTGACGAGGTAAAGTCATTGTTACATAAGTAGCCAATAGGCATTAACTAGTTAGCATCCGTAGAAGCCCAGGAATTGCGTACGGGTAGGAGCAGTGGAAGAATAAGGCTCTAGAAGGTGGGCCCAATTCCGAGGCTTTCCACGATATATGTACATAAAGTTATTCTTTCTACAGCCCGCAGCCTCGGAGGGTCATCCAGAACCAAGTTTCCGCCTAGCTATTACTGTTGTTTCTTATCGCACGTTGTTGCTGCTACTCCGGCATCCAAAAGACCTCGACCAGAAATTATCTTAACTGAAGTGGCGATCAAGACTGAGCGAAGACAACATATCCTATATATATACGGGTCTCCATCAATTTATAAAGAAATCTCACTTCCCCACACAACTGCCTTTATCACAATCCGGACTCCCCTTAAAGTATCTGCCAGTTCGCATTTGAAGTTTGTTGCTGCTCCTATATGAATTGTATCGCTCGCAATGATAAGTTCAAGGCGCTGCAGACACTTGAAGCTCCCAAGTCCTATCTTCACCCATTCGGCTTCGGTATCAAGAAGCCTCAAACCACCCTCTATTAATTGGCCTTCAATAGTCAGGCTCAATTCCCGTAACCCGGTGCAATTTGGCCCTACCGCGGCCCCCAGAATGGCGCAGATATCAATCCATTCAGATGTAGGCCGACAACTGCCAGATCCGTTGATAAGACTGCTCTCAACAGCCCGTAAACTCAGCCTTTGAATTGAGCACAACTGCCATTGACACAGACGCTGGAGAAAGATTCTACAGGAATGAACTCCAGTCCCGCACCATCTGTGGAAGTCGAATTTGTGAAGTTGGAAGCCCAGAACACGGGTTTCCGCATAAATTTGGCGGTTAATGAGTAGGATATTCAATGCAATCTGATGCTTGGGTGTATAAAAGGCGTGCGGATTGCGACATGGACATGTCCCGAATACTAGTTCGTATACTTTCAAACGTAGCTCGATTGGGAGACGAAACAACATTTCAACTCGGACATATACCAGTGGAGTAAAGGGGATTTCGATATATGAAACAAATGCGGTTTTTTGGAAGTGATCGCTAAAATTAAATAAGTTAGACGCTTTTAAAACGGTGAATGTATCCTCATTAAATCCAAGTCCAGCGTTTTCTTCCAGTAGGCCTACATCCCCCGATCTTGCTATCAAACTAGCCAGTAACAGGCCTGTTACGGGCTGAAGCGTGCTAACGGAACTCCCGTTGTCATGGCTTAGTTAGCTGGTTGAGGCACGTGTCATGCTGACTCATATCTGGTTTGAACTTGGGTAGGCCTCGGGTTCTAGACCCTTGTATTATTACCGTGTACATACACAACCGGTAATTTACACTCAATCCATATCAAGCTTAGCGTATCATGTGATTAGGGTTTGAAAGAGTATCTCTCTTCCCTATTGCCCTCAATGTTACTCGTCCTCGAACGCCATGCCTTATGGCATAGGGCTTTCAGATTACGAAGACACAGGAATTGAGCTTGCAGCCAATATGGCTTCACCTAGGATTGCAATATTCTAGCCAGCACAAATATTGCATTGGTTATCTCGTCTTTATTTAGATCGTTCATCAGTTAAGCAGACCGAGTCAAACTGAACCATCCATCATCTACCACCTTTGTGACTTCAAGACACTCACAATTCTTTACAAAATCTACACGTTTTTTCACTAAATGACATTGAAAATTCTGTTTGAATTCAAATCGGTTGAGGCGGCCCAGGAGAGGGCAGTATAAGAAGCGACTTCAATACTTTCGGTTGAACGCGCAAGAACAGCATACCATTTTCCCATTGCATGCAGATCTGGATACGGACGCATGTGGTGACCAATCTGTCTGACCACCTCCGTAGATCCCAATACTTTGAGTACATCGGAATCGGCATATTGTCTCCACAGATTCCTACTGAGCTGAAGCTGGCCAAGAAAGGAGGGAGTGCGAAGAGGAAAAGAAGAAGCAAATCAGTTACCATAAAGCACTAAGCGGGCCACAAGAGAAAAAGGAGGGACTTGAAAGAGAGCAATGGATGCCCTAATCAGCGCGCTCGACAAGTTGAGTCTCAATGGCATTAGGCCAACCGATTCAGAGCAAACGAATGCGTCTGGAGCAATGGAAAGCGTCGAGCCTGCTGGGATAGCGGTCGATATACAGCCGGTGGAGCGGTGCCCTGGTGCTGCGGCTAAAGATAATGAGGAAGCGGACAAAAAGAAATTTCATACTGGGTTAAGCGGCAATGCCCGTTTTTCCAAATCAGAAGCAGGTATTCTTAACAACGCGAGACGAATAAGCATTGCAAAGGGCTCGCAGCAATACCAAAAAAATCATACTGAACGAGTGGCCGTCGCTCGGTATTGTTTTAGAGGGCGGATTTACCTAATTTATCGCCACGGCCCTAAAGAAATGTGCCAATATTGGATGCAAAAAACAGAATTGCACAATAGCGAGTTACTCAAAACCCTGACCAGATTGACGATCCCGTGATCCCGCAGTTGCGGTTGTCTCCATTCTTAGTGATAGGTGCAAGCTGCAGTGGTAGGAAGGCTATCGCAGGACTGAATAAACTATTATGTAGAATAATCCTTGCAGTAGACTTTGGAGTGCCTGGGTATAATTATGGAAATGCGCGTGATTTGGGGTCTAAGATTTCAGAGCATTTTGTGTGTAAAAGTCCCTCTCACCCACCGTCTCGCGCATGTGATGCCACGCTCTCTGGTGATATTTAAAGCTCTCGGCCCACTGGCTTTGCGCAGCATGGAGGTTGCCAAGTGCATATAAAATCAGACCGGTCCGGACGGATTCCCTGTCATTCTTACCTAAAGCCTTTTCTCTGCCGGCCAGGCTATCCAGAAGAAGTGTGTTGGACTCTTCAATCTTGCCCTGCAAAAGGAGAGCCCAGCTCAGGTTGGCCTCGCCAGACCGCGGAATGTAGTTACCGAGAGCCTTGCGTATCCGCAGCGCCTCCTTTAGGTCGGCCTCCCCTTCCTCGTACCGTCCGTCCTGGATCCGTGAGATCCCTCGTTCTACGTAGGCGAGGTATAATCTGTCGTCTGCAGTTCCAAGTTCGTTGCAAATTTTGGAAACTAGATCAAAAGAACGCTCCTTGTGGATGCGGCTTGTGCCGAAATTGCTCGCATCCATGGCTATAGCTCCTAGGCAGAAATGGATATCTGCAAGCAGGGAATCCCGATCTGGGTGTGTTGAGGACTCGCAGATGCTGCGAGCAGTTTCGAAGAAGCCATCAAATTGCTTTGTCCGTCCACGCTCTTTTTGATACCTGGAGAATGTTAGACTCTATAGTAAATAAAATGCCTGAATATCGTATAATCACCATGCTGCATCAGTCAGTAACTTTGCGAAAAGCAATTTGGTAGCCTCCGAGGAATCTGATATAGCTGGCCAGAGCTGATGCATCCTAAGAACGTGAGGTAAACCGCTGCACAGGCAGGCTATCTTCCAACATATAACCTGTTGCCAGAGGATTTGGGCTGTGGTAGCTCTGGCTCCCTTGATGGCTTTGGCATAGCCGATGCCAGTCTGCCCACAGAATTCGTACCACTTGGTCAAACATGGACCGTTTCTTCTCAACATCCATTGTTGCTAGTATCACATCTTGCACAATGCGATGAACTGATATTTGCTGCTTTTGCTTATCTCTTTGGACCAGAGATGATTGCAAGAGATCAGTTCGAGCCTCAATATAGTTACTTTTCTTAAACGATGTGCCCTCGGAAATCAGCTCCACGGATGCTTCCAATAAGTCTTCTCCGATGGAATCCGGATCAAGAAATGATATCAGTTCCAAAAGCTGTTGAGTTTGAGGCTTGAGCTTCCCAAATTCCCATACGGTGGAGAGAGAGTGACGATATGTGACCAAGTTCGTATCGAACTTTGTTTCATAAGGACTGGCATGTTCTTCATGGTCCATATACAGCTCAAAAAACTCTGAAAGAGTGAGGTCTTGTCGACGGATAATACCAGCCATCTGAGAAATGGCCATTCCACCAAGTGCATCGGAAATTTTTTGCGCTGTGTCAACTTCTAGGTCGTTAGAGACAGTAGTGAGGTGGTTGAAAAGGGATAGGCTGTCTTGCTGTGAAAGTGGACCTAAATCCAGCCTGAGGGTCTTCCCGTGAACATGTTTTTGCATAAAGGGTCGCGACTAGTGATAAGAATCGATCCACTGCCTTGAGGCCAGTAGTCTGCCAGAATTATTGGCTCATCTGCGTTGTCGAATATAAGCAACCAAGTTGCTTCCGAGCTAGCTTCGCCAGGTTGAATAAAATCATCCGACCCTGATATATGCTTTCGAGGATTAGAGAGCCACCCTTTCACAATCTCTCTACTGACAACCTGGCTTTTGCACTCGGATGATTCTTCGAGTCCTAGTGCTAACGATATTTGCTGGTAATGGTGATCAAGTTTTGCAACTTCATCCGCCAAGACCCAGAATACCGCATCAAAGGGATGTTTGTGACGCCGGGCAAACTCGCGAGCTATTTCCGTCTTTCCAATTCCTCCAAATCCACAAAGTGCAAACTGCCTTATAGCGGTGCCCTATGCAGTCACTCTGTTCTTTGGAGGTAAGAGCTCGGTTGCGAGACGTTCCAAGATATCTTCACGGCCGCAGAAATCCTGATTTGCTGAATGCGTATTGAGAAGAAGGCATGGTATGTGGAGGGGTTTCACAATATCAGATTTTGGTGCTATAGGAGTTACCAACTCAAACCCCGAAAGAGATGTTCCGTCCGTTGCTTTGTTGGATGGCGACTCCGTGAGTTCCAATTGCTCAACTAACCGACATCTATGATAACCTGGTAATATGTAGATATTCAGCTTACATTTTAGTGGTAATTCGCTCATTGTGGGGGAGTAAGCGCTCGTCGTTGCATCTTGAGATTCCTCTGAGACCATTAATACCGTTCTGCGGTTTCTGATGCGTTCATAACCTACGGTCCTTGAGTTGAATAGCAAAAAGACGCGCGGCGGCACGCAAAGTGTTGTAGACAAAATTGTTAAACTCCGGTAGACTTTCGCCACCAACGCTCTGGGTGAAAAGACATGTATCGTGATGATTAAGATTAAGGCCAATGACTGTTTCCATTCGGGCGCGAGTTGAACAAGCTTCACGGTTGACCAACTATATTGGAAGTTAGCGTTGACCTAATTCGAGGGCTTCAAACTGACTTGTTGGTATTTATGCTGCAGTGTAGTCGAACTGGTTTTCGATTCTCTCAGTTCGTACGCGGATAGTATGGGGGTACTGAATGAGACTTTTTCGAATCTATCTGCAAGGTCAAGCAAAATGGCACCTTCTTGCTCGATATTGGTGCTTGGAATATTCAAGTTTCTGCTGGTCGTCGCTTCAAATATATCTCGAAACCGTATCAAACTGGTGGTATTGTCGCCATAGCGATGCGGAGTGCTTAGGAAGATAACGCCAGCTATAGCGTTGATAATTGATTCGCACCGGTTAAACTGCTTGTTGGCGACACATAATGCCTGTTTGACTATAATACCACCTAAGCTGTGGCAGACTATCAAGATTGGCTTGTTGGCAGTCTGGAGGAAGTAAATTAGCAAGTATACGGATGGTTCGAAGGGAAGTAATCAATTTTACCGCGTCTGAGTATCGCCCGTCGCTTATATGCTGGAGAAGGTCGTGACCTAGCATCAAGATCGACTCCCATGAAGGCTTGGCGGTCGCAAATGGCGAAGCATATTCGTAGGCGAGGACGCGTGTCCCAGCACTGGAACTTGGTAGGGTGGCAAGCCATTCTTCTTTAGCAAACGGCCATTCTGCCGGTAAGATAGTTCCGATGCCAGGAACGAGAACAATACTAGACTGAGAATAAGTGGAGGTCCTAAACTGAGCCAGTCTGTGGGTTTCTCTTACTCGATGCCATCCTGAGATTCATCAGGTGGATCCCGCAGTACCTGAAGGTGGCCAGTAGGTGCAAAGCTCATCGTAGCCATGACTGCGGGCAACTAAAGGGTGCGCGTTTCAACATGAGAAAATGAGACTAAACTTGTGATGCGGGTAGTTAAGTATGTACTTATGTCCACGGGTAGGTACATAGTTAGTTACAGGTACATAGGATATGTAATCACTACAGCCCTCCAGGGCTCTAACATAACATTTAGATACTGCAGTGGGGGTTTCCAGAGCAGGATGACTAAGCGGCTATATGATATAAAAGCACTCCCGAGGCATAGATAGCAACGCAGACACCTTTCCACTTCCATTCTCAGTAGTCACCCCATGGTGTTCTCCTCTCTAGCACCCTACTACTCCCAGTGACGACTCTGCTCTCACACCTGTTTCGCAGACAGGGCTGTCGGTGCCCCTCAGGGGTCCCCTCTTCAACAGCTACTTTTATGTTTCATTCCAGGGCGTAGTCTTAACTCTCCACGCGGCACCTCGCGAAACTTGTCCTATATTATAGTTTGGGATTAATTCGGGCATGAGAAGGGCAATAAGGAACCTTTTGACCCGGATTTCCTTGTTTAGTAGATCACAGCTTCACCCGATAGAGCTCTTCCTCGTCATCACCTTGCTGCGCTAGAGACATGCCTCGATGTCCTGGATTCAAAAATGTAGAGTACAGCCGTGGAGACTGCAACCTTGGAGAAATGCTCGTATAATCGAGGAAGAAACGCGACAGTCAAGAGTAATGGTAAAGAAGCAATACAATGATTAGATGTATGAGACAATGAGAATAAAAAAGCAAAATGAACAAGCACGCATAACTAAATAAATCCTAACCAGACACCAGCATCAGGAGTCTCCCTAAAACAAACCCAGAACCTTTCCCGAACCCATCCATACCCAAGACAATCCCTAGTCCAACCCTCTATCTATTCCATGGATGCAGTTCCTCATCTGATCGTGTCTCGGTAGTGTCACCCGCAAGCATTTAACAAAAGAAAATGGGGTTGCAAGGGCAAGATGACATCTTGAAACAAAACAATAAATCGCAGATTTGAAACACGATCAGACCGTCCGACTCCTTCCAGTGCGCTGGTTTCCCATCAATATAAATACAAACGGAATAAGAAAATGCATGAAAAACAAAGGAAAATAAGAAATCAATCGAGAGGCATAGATGTATTCTCTCGTGGGAATCAAAGGCTTATGCAATGAGGTTATTAAACAAAGGAAATAACGGAAAATTCAAGCTGTTGCGAGACACTTGTGTCGGTTGTGAATCGCATCATACAGCAGTAGACCATGTGTGGTCACCTCGAGGTTTCATTTCGTAGTTCTCCGGCTCGGTGCTGGTAGGCCGACGAATGGTAGAGTTGGGAAAATACATGTGCGGCGGCATTGATGTCGGATACGCGGGGCCAGTGGGCTCAGGGTAGGTGAAGTCGTTGGCTGATCCGGGCGATGGCATGCCACCGTGAGAAGGCGAAGCCCATCCAAGACTAGTCATGTGTGGACTGCCATTCACGCTATTGGGGCGGTGATCACTGTTCGCTGGGGGCTCAAGAGGTTGAGGCAGACCGTAGGGATGCGATGTCATGGATGGCCGGTTGTGGGGCGCACTGCCGTAGCTGGATAGCGAAGGAGATGTCGCAGTCGGGGAAGCTCGGGGGCTGCCTTGGGGGAAATCCCCACGCACATGAGGCGGGATAGGGCCGTTGCCCATGTAGTAGTCGCCGGCAGAGCGGTGCATGTTCAGCGGCGGGAGCTCACCACCAGGTGACATGGACGGGTGATGCGCGGGTGACGGGGTAGAATGGATGGAAGCGTGCTCAGAAAACATTCCTTCGCCAGGACGTCCACGGTCCTTATTTTGCCGCAACTGGGCCTCTGTCTCAGCAGCAGCTTCTTCGATAGTCCCGGTGTGGTGATTTTGGTGGCGTGTCAAAGTCGTGCGACGCGTGAAGGTCTTCTGACAGTTGGCATACGGGCATTTGTAGGGTCGCTTGCCGGAGTGAATGCGGCGATGTCTGGCCAGCGAAGACGAGTCGCTGAAGGGCTGAATAAATGTTAGATTTAGCCAGAACAAAAAGAGGAAAGTTACACACCTTGCCACATCTCTCACACATGTGGGGTTTCTCTCCGGTGTGTACACGGGAGTGCACTGTCAAGGCCGAGCGTTGAATGAACTGCTTTCCACACCCTGGCCACTCGCAAGCGTGAGGTCTAACTCCTGTATGAATACGCTCTGTGAATCATTAGCGGCCGCATCTCCAAAATTTCCGAAGGATACATACCATGTCGAGCAAGGTCGCTGCGCCGTGCGAAGCCCTTGTTGCAGGTTGAGCAGTGGAAAGTCTTTGGTGGTGGGTCAATACCTGCTCTTCCTTGGGGAGCAGGTTCCTGCTGCATCTGGGGATCGCCAGCGTATCCCGCAGGGGCATAGGCCATGTTTCGAGGGGTTGAGCCCGTAGGCTGTCCATAATAGAAGGAATCGGGAAGTCCACCATCCATTTGCATGGGCGGGGGACCGTGAGGAGGATATACATTGACGGGGTTTTCCGGGCCACCTGATTCGCTCTTCATCGTGGGTGAAGCTCCGGTGTGCAACTGTGCACTATGTTGGAAGTACTGCTGTTGTAACTGCGCCTCAGCGGCGGCGGCGGCTGCAGCGGAGTTTTTCCTGTTCAGGATGGTCGTGAAGTCCATGACCCGACCCAGCAAGTAGCCAAGGGACCGCGGTCAAGGACTGCTTTCGAAGACGTCCTTCGGCAGACCTTCCGCGCGACTAGTATTCCGATGAAGTCCGATAGCTTATTGGATTCGGAGTCCTTGGCGCGTTAGGACGGATATGAACAGTGGAGGCCGTTGGGTGGGAGATTCGGGTCACAACTAGCAAGCTCTGCAAGTCACGATATAATTAGAACTAATCTTCGGCACAGTAGATCGAGCTCGATTCTGCAAAAGCTCCGCGAGTGCGCAGCTCGTGGGAAGACCTTAGACCCAGAAACTCACCCTGCGTAGACCTGTATCGTCTTGGACAGTCCCTCGGCGAAGAATGCGACGGGGTAAATTCTCCACTTTTCTGCAGTGGAATGCAAGGTTGCGTAAGAGGTATCGAACGATGGGCTTTCTGCCAAAAAAAGCCAAGCTCGTCTCAGAGAATAATGTTGTGGTCGGCTCAAGGCGGAACGCGTGTTCGTTTGTCGGTGAAGGTGGAGGAAGATAGGTCAACTATCCCTGTGGAGGTTCCTATGCAACACAAGAAATGTCGATGGTCAGCATGAAACTAATATCAAGACGATGGTTGCGATGCCGAGTATTTTCCACCACCGTGCTGTAAGCTGATTTTCTCGCCTGTGCTCCGCGGTCCTCGGTACGGGAGACCAGTCACAACGCCGAGTTCCAGGAAAATGAAAAAAGACCAGACCAGCACGTATGGGGAAATTGTCCGTGATCACGAAACCCAAGATAACAGCGCATGGCGGAGAGAGTTGGGCAGCCAAGGCGAACAGGCGGGATGCGTCATCACTGGCAAATCGCGGTGAAGGCAAGGAGTGAAGCGGAAAACACACCTTTTTCAACGAAGCTTGAGGTTTCAAGATACTATAATAGAGAAGAGTCGAGGGCGACACAAAGAGAGGCTCGAGAGAATTTAGGAATTTGCGGCCGGGTCAAGTGGGGTTAAGAAGGTAGAGAGACAAAGAGATCAAGAAGATTGAAGATGAAATGAAAGAAGAAGAAAGGGAAGCGAAGGGTTAAAAAGTAGAAGATGAGAAAGGGGGGTGGGGGAGGAGAAATAGGAAATATTATGATTATTACATGTTTAGGTGATTTAGGTGTGGTAGGTGCCACTGTCTCTTGCATCTTTGTACATCATTTATTTACACTTGGAGAACTTATTTTTGGCCCTCTCGTAGTATTTGTGTATTATCTTCGTGTCTTATTATACCGGCTTCAAATCGGACTTCTGATCCTATATGGCGTTTCCATCTACATCCCACGGTTGTGCTGCTATATCAGTTGCAATCCATTCAGACCTCTCCTAAGCTGAATTCCCTTTCTAGAAGGACTAGTCTTCCTAGTCGGACCCAGCGAAGCCCGCTAGAAGGAAACCTGACCGCACCAGAAGGATCCACAACGTGCCCTTCTCCCCGTGTGGAAATGGATCCAAAAGGCCGATCCGAACCTGAGTTTCCTTGTGATTATTATTATCCGCCTCGATATAGCCTCCTGAAATTTAATCTTTAAATATACCTTGGAGTGTGGTGTTTATTCCCAGGCCATGGCTCAAATTAAGCATAGGATCGGGCTAATAAGGAACCAGATCCCAATGTTGTAATATACGGTGTAGCAATGCGTTAATAGAGTCCCATATACAGTATGAAAGGGGGGGGGAGGGGCCGAACTACAACTGACAACCCCTGAAGCGAAATAGAAAATACACGCATTTCTCATCCGGATTTTACGATTACGATAAAATCACAAAGAATAAAAAAGAAAAAAAGGAAGGAAGGGAAAAGGCAAAAAGGAAAAGAAACAGGAGACATCGATCAACGATGACATGCAAGTTTCTCATGGTGCGACACATTGAGTGATATACTTATTTTTATACGATGCGAAGGAGATTACCTCGATAATCTACCCGGCTGTTAGCCGGAAACATCGCAAAATCGAGATTGACCTTCTAGAACAGTTCCGCTATCACAATGGTAACCATTCCTGTACGTACCTCACGCAGCATATATGGGTTACACGGTTGGTAGGACCAACTGACTTCGACCTTCTTCTCTCTCTTTCCCCTCTTCTTTTCTTAGGTACGCGGACTCTGACGATCCTGCAGTGGAGCTAATCCGGTCTGCATCGGTAATTACTCAACCCCTTTCCCTTCCGGGGCCTGGCTTCAGCCTCTGGGAATCCACTCCACTGCCACAAAAAGACCCGTGGACGGCACGGATGGCTCTGCCAAGCCTTCTCCTGACCTTCCAGAAGGACGCCAGAAGCATTTTGGAACATCCGTAGAAGCCGTGGAAGCCGTAGAAGGAAAAAA